GCAAAGGAGCATGAGTCAGGATAAGGAAAAAATATGTAATTTTTAGAGTAAAATTGATATTTTATACTTATCCTGACTCATGAGGTTAGCCCTCCCATCCTCCCACATAACACTTTTGATTTCCTGTAAATCTCAAGTGTTGGGCTCGCTAAATCAGGAGAGAGTGGAGCACATGGCCAGAGGGTGGCTAATAACTTTTCCGCCAGGGGAGACAAAGGGGAGCAAACCGTGTGGTGAGTACCAATTAGTTTATGGTGTTCCCTCTCTGTGATAGTGGAGGGTGGGGTAGCCTGTATCTATGAAGTTTATTTATGGTGTTCCCCTCTGTGATAGTGGAGGGTGGGGTAGCCTGTATCTATGAAGTTTATTTATGGTGTTTCTCTGATAGTGGAGGGGTGGGAATTGCCCTCTGTGATAGTGGAGGGTGGGGTAGCCTGTATCTATGAAGTTTATTTATGGTGTTCCCCTCTGTGATAGTGGAGGGTGGGGTAGCCTGTATCTATGAAGTTTATTTATGGTGTTCCCCTCTGTGATAGTGGAGGGTGGGAGTAGCCTGTATATATGAAGTTTATTTATGGTGTTCCCCTCTGTGATAGTGGAGGTGGGGTATTGTTTACTTATAGCCTGTATATATGGTTTATGGTGTTCCCCTCTGTGATAGTGGAGGTGGGGTAGCCTGTATCTATGACGTTTATTTATGGTGTTCCCTTCTGTGATAGTGGAGGGTGGGGTAGCCTGTATCTATGTTTATTTATGGTGTTCCCTCTGTGATAGTGGAGGGTGGGGTAGCCTGTATCTATGAAGTTTATTTATGGTGTTCCCCTCTGTGATAGTGGAGGGTGGGGTAGCCTGTATCTATGAAGTTTATTTATGGTGTTCCCCTCTGTGATAGTGGAGGGTGGGGTAGCCTGTATATATGAAGTTTATTTATAGTGTTCCCCTCTGTGATAGTGGAGGGTGGGGTAGCCTGTATCTATGAAGTTTATTTATGGTGTTCCCCTCTGTGATAGTGGAGGGTGGGGTAGCCTGTATCTATGAAGTTTATTTATGGTGTTCCCCTCTGTGATAGTGGAGGGTGGGGTAGCCTGTATCTATGAAGTTTATTTATGGTATTTATGAAGTTTATTTATGGTGTTCCCCTCTGTGATAGTGGAGGGTGGGGTAGCCTGTATCTATGAAGTTTATTTATGGTGTTCCCCTCTGTGATAGTGGAGGGGGGGGTAGCCTGTTTATCTATGAAGTTTATTTATGGTGTTCCCCTCTGTGATAGTGGAGGGTGGGGTAGCCTGTATCTATGAAGTTTATTTATGGTGTTCCCCTCTGTGATAGTGGAGGGTGGGGTAGCCTGTATATATGAAGTTTATTTATGGTGTTCCCCTCTGTGATAGTGGAGGGTGGGGTAGTCTGTATCTATGAAGTTTATTTATGGTGTTCCTCTCTGTGATAGTGGAGGGTGGGGTAGCCTGTATCTATGAAGTTTATTTATGGTGTTCCCCTCTGTGATAGTGAAGGGTAGGGTAGCCTGTATATATGAAGTTTATTTATGGTGTTCCCCTCTGTGATAGTGGAGGGTGGGGTAGCCTGTATCTATGAAGTTTATTTATGGTGTTCCCTCTCTGTGATAGTGGAGGGTGGGTTATCCTGTATCTATGAAGTTTATTTATGGTGTTCCCCTCTGTGATAGTGGAGGGTGGGTTACCCTGTATCTATGAAGTTTACTTATGGTGTTCCCTTCTGTGATATATTGCTGGAATACTGTGCAACCTGATCAGTCCCAGCATCGTGGATCGATGCGTTCATACGCTAGTGTGCCAGGTTCAGATCAGCCTCGATGATTAATAAAAAATATCGCTGACTCCAACTGAAAACGATAATAACAGTACCTTCTATAATTCACAGGAAACGAGATACACATGTGACATGTTTATCGAAGAGTTCTTTTCAGATATTGTATATCACTGCTGCTGGGATCGCAGTGGATGCTAGTACAGAAAAAAATGTCACCCGACCTAGCTGTGGTCTGTATATCTAAATCTATTTAATCATTCGAGATAAATATTTCACTGAATATTTTCAGTTTTCATTCCCTCTCGCCATAAAGCGAGGAAACAGTAACCGGGTCTTGTCCATGTTCTTTGAATCAGATACAGGTACACTGATTTTCCTCTTGTAAAAGAAATACATCCACATGATCCTTGTGTGGCGGTAAGGTAGCCTAGTGGTTACGGCGTTCTCTCCTCACGCCGAAAACCCGGGTTTGAATCCCTACATGGGTGCAATGTGTGAAGCCCTTTTCTGGTGACCCGATGTGACCTTGTTGCTGGGATATAAAAGCGGCGTAAAACCGCCCCCAAACATGATTATTGTGTGTAAATTAACGTGCACAAACGTTTATTTCGACGTCGGTAGAAACACTGTCTGTCATCTCGACATTGAAGAGGATTCATCACTGGACAAACTCTTCGCCAGTTTCTCATGCCATGCCTGCATGGTGTTGCTCAGTGGCATACGTTGTTGTGCATGCAAACGTCTGCGACAAATAGCGGTCTGACGGTTCCTGATTGTTTGGTCCGATATCCTCCCAATACCATCAACATGTCCTGCAGTCTCACTGACAGTAGGCTTTCGATGACGTAGATGGAAGATGTGCGATCTTGTGCCGAGGTGGTGACACATGGCCGACTACTTTTGGGACTAACTTTTGTTAATTTGACACGGGATACCGTACCCATACACGAGATTTGGTGCTCCGATGTACTTTAAAATAAAGTGCAACTTCAGACTGGGACTCTCCTGCTCCAAGACGTTCTATGGTAATGTCCCGGCATTTGAAGGACTGCAAGGTATTGCCGGTATACCGGTATATTGCAATAGGCTTTCAAACGATACGTATTGCAATATATTTTCTGAGAACCGGTATATTGGGTAAAGAATATATATGAAGTGTTTGTGATTATCTTTATGGTTTAAATTAAAATCTACACAGACTTTCATCCACAACAAATGTTTTCCTTCGTTATTCAAGACAAAACAGCGGCATACTGTATTGCTGTATTGCTGTATTGCTGTATTACTGTATTACTGTATTACTGTATTGCTGTATTACTGTATTGCTGTATTACTGTATTGCTGTATTACTGTATTGCTGTATTACTGTATTGCTGTATTACTGTATTGCTGTATTACTGTATTACTGTATTACTGTATTGCTGTATTACTGTATTGCTGTATTACTGTATTGCTGTATTGCTGTATTACTGTATTGCTGTATTACTGTATTGCTGTATTACTGTATTGCTGTATTACTGTATTGCTGTATTACTGTATTGCTGTATTACTGTATTACTGTATTGCTGTATTACTGTATTACTGTATTGCTGTATTACTGTATTGCTGTATTACTGTATTGCTGTATTACTGTATTACTGTATTACTGTATTGCTGTATTACTGTATTGCTGTATTACTGTATTACTGTATTGCTGTATTGCTGTATTACTGTATTACTGTATTGCTGTATTACTGTATTACTGTATTACTGTATTACTGTATTGCTGTATTACTGTATTACTGTATTACTGTATTACTGTATTACTGTATTACTGTATTACTGTATTACTGTAACACTATAAATTGTATAAAAGAGAAAGTAGAATCCCTGACTATACAACCTAATTGTGAGATTGCTGTTATGACGACCATAACATGTATGTTTAGGGACTTGCAGTGTAGAAAGTAGGATTGGCATGCACAATTAGTGCCACTCACTGTCAAACACTTAGTTCCTAATATATCAATACGTATCACACTTAGTGTACCTAATCACAATATATCGCAATACGTATCACAATACGTGTACCTGAATCACAATATATCGCAATACGTATCACAATACGTGTACCTGAATCACAATATATTTCCCAATACACAGCCCTAGGCATTTGGCAGCATTCAGTCTCGGCATTTCTCACTTCCATTACGTCCAGGCGTATGACAGATTGTTGACTGACGTTTGACCATAAATAGTCATTGTCACTTCGCATGAATGTGCACGTGCATTCTGCTTTTGATTTCATTTCCGCTACACTCGTCTTATAAAAACTGATGTCTATAAGTATAAATGTTTAATAGGTTGGGTTTGTGCACTACATTAGTAGACGAACACGTGGCTATGATCGTTCAGTAAAATATATTGCATTCGAATGGATGGTTTCATGAAAGAACACTATTAACACTCTCCTTTTTCCATATGCCGCTGTGTTTATAAGAGTGTATAACTATTGAGGGCTATACAATGTACTTTTCTACACACACGCTGGTCATCAATAGTCATTTGTTTCATGTTCCTTTCACAGTTTCCGTATTCAACTGTGCATGAGCAACTGCTCGTCTGTACTGTCAGAAACCTCTCGCCAGCTTACATTTTGTAGAATTGGAAAATAAAACGTGTATACTTTTAAATCATCCTTCATGACAGTGTTATGGCTGTCAACTGGAAGTTAAACAAGCCCTAAGTTTGATTACAAAACAAACCCCACTTCACTTGTTCTCCATGTATTCAGTCACCTTCAAGATGGCGCTGGGACATTGGATCGCGATGTCGTTTTTCATGATATCAAACTCGGGTATGTGTTTTCTATTGTTTAGGACGTACATTTGTATTATTGATGAGTGTAAATAGATAATGTCCGAAATTACTCTTAAATACTTATTGAAGTTTCAGAATATCTCAGCTGTAATGAAGTCCCGGGCTGTTAGGGTTATCAGAATCTTTTCCCAAAGTATTATAACCTATGAACATAGATCTGTCTTTGATGATGTTCCAGCTGCTGTATCACTGATGCGGGGTACCTCATGGACGCTCGACTCTGGTACAAGAGCTTCCGCCAACTGCTCTTCACGTCGATGTCCATCATGTCACGTGACCTGGAAAAAAGAAGGGGACCCCACATTCCATCTGGCAAATGAAACACTGTTTCTAAATCCAGTTAAAAAGACCGACCGCGGGAATTACACATGTACCGTAGAGGACAGTGAAGGTCTTCAGTGGAACAATGGAACGTTGGAAATCTTGGTTAACTGTGAGTTATATGCTCATTGTTATCCTGATAATAGTGGTTTTGTACAATGAAACACACACAAAACATACTTCTAAGATGCTTCGGTGAAAGATCAAAGGCGCCGACAGTACTTTATAAGAAGATAATGTGCACTTTTTGCATTACGTCACAATGTAAGCGACGTCACGATGCATGTCAGATGTCATCGCATCGTACAGCCTCATACAGTAAACTGCTCCGTTGCATCCCGTTTCTTGGTTTGCAGTTGTTTCACTCAGCAAACATCACTGGTGGAAACATTACGTTTATGTTTTCCGACGTTTAAAATATCTCAAATCGACTCACAAGTTTTCAGCGACGCGGTAACGTTCGCAATGTTTACATTCCCACAATGCAATCGTGGAATGTCGCTTGACTACTCCGCTTCATCTGGATGTAGATCTACTGATCTAAACTTACGTTGATAGTAGAAGTGCGACGTTCATATTGCCCCATATGGTTTACGTTAATCACAGATGTAATTAAAATAATTTAGAAGGATATGTAATCAGAACGTAAACCGTCATCAAACTGTTATCATTTGTATTTTCTGGTAACGTTCTTCTTAACGTAGGGGGCAGTCACATCAATAGAACAGCGCGCCAGTTAGCCCTGTGCGAGGATTCTTAATTTAGGTCACCGACACCGTCGTTTGTTTTCTGCCTTAGATTAATCGTAATTATCATTAGAAAGTATTAAATTTGGCATCTTAGAAAAGAAATACAGTTCGCTCTACCACCATGTATACTGTAATAAAGCACACTTTCGCCCTGAACTATTATAACGTTAAAGCACTCGCACGCAAGCGTCCTCGTACTTTAACTATAATAGTTCAGGGCGAAAGTGTGCTTTATTACACTATACATGGTGGTAGAGCAAACTGTATTTCTTAAATAGAAGTGATAGTTATCTATGTAACATTGCTAGGATGAAATGTGGTGGTGTGTGGTCCTTTGCGTAGAGCTTAGGTCACAAATCAGTTAAGTATCAGCAACGTTGGGCGCAGAGAGTCCTTAGATGGGTGGCCGTGTTAGTTTCTAGGACCTCAATCCTGGCCTACAACTAAGCACATGTGATACGTGTGGTCTCACCTTAGGCAGTAAGTTGGTTCAAACTTGCCTCTATTCACCCAGCAGAAAATGGGTACCCGGTGGGATACGTCATGTGACAATGTTCTAGCGCCTCACATACAGCTTGGGTTATCCTGGGTAATAATAATCAGATTGTATGTTAGCGCATTGAGCGTGCCACTCCATGGGGCAGAATTCAGCGCATCACAAATACCCTTAGTATTCTATGTGAGAGACGATTATGTCATTTCGTATGTGTGGACACATAACAGACATATTCTTAAGACTTGCAAACAATCTTACTCCCTTTAAAGGTATGCTTTCAAAAGTGTAAACACTTGTACCTACAAATCCAGTTTCCGTTTTACAATGGCGACTGAAGTTGTGTACGTGCCCTGGCATCCATAGGGCTCCAGACAAGCAGGGAAACTAGGCCGTGATTACAACCTCTGTAACACCTCCGAGCAAAATGATTTAGTTATTAATAATCAATAAACATTTGTTTCAGATCCCACTGAAAACATATCTCTGTCAGTCAACAACCGTCCCTACTCAAAGTCTCATTACAAAACCCGGGAAGGTGCCAACGTTAGTCTGTCATGCTCTGTAGACGGATTCCCCCCTCCACTCGTCAAGTGGCACAAAGATGACGGCGCTGTTAAAACTGTTAACCTCACCCAGAAGTATGGTCTTCATCAACACCCCGGGAAGAGTTTCCTGATTTCCTATGACGTGACTGACGCCGGATGTGAAGATGAAGGTACATACGTCTGCCAGGCTGGCAATGGCGTCATGGATACTGCACCCATCGAAAAATACATCATGTTAGAAGTTGAATGTAAGTCATAAACCATCAGAAAACCTGGGGATGTGGTGTCTGCATGTCACAACGTTTGAGGTCCAACTGAGCGTGGTCTTTGAACGAAGATTTCCAAGAACATCTTTCTACTCAAAAGTTGTGTGGTCAATGGCACGCAATGCCTTAGTATAGCTTTGAGAAAGGTTTATGGTAATTTTATGCTTTATTGACAAATTAGTTGCAGTTTCCTCGATGAACTTGTATCGAAAAACCCGTTGTTTGTAAGGTGATGTTGACTTGTCTTTGCATGTGTTTGTGATGTGTGCTCATGGGGTCAGAACATGCTCACCTGTTCGAGTGATTCATAAACACATGCTTATGATAGGAATCGTACAGTGGACGATTAACAGAGAATATTTTATTCAGTAAACGGTTTTTGAATTAAGGCCTCTGTAAGCCATACCTATTGCTCTAAGGGTTGCCAATAATGATTCATTACACAGATTAAGTTCTAATTTAATATTTGTTGTCGGGTACAGGTGCACCTAAAGTGCAGGATGCAGACAGACAGACACGGACCTGGTCGGTACAGAGAGGTGGCACTGTGTTGGTCAGCTTCACGGTGCTATCCAACCCTTTGTCCAGTGTTATAGCCTGGTGGCGGACTGGAGAAGACACAAGCAGGGAGATTCTGAACGAGGGTGATGCTGATCACAGCTTGAATGAAACAGCCCTGGGTGGAAACGCTCGATACATTGCAATAAGTCATTATAATGTGACCGAGACTGGACTTTACGGAGTCACACTGGCCAATGGTCATGAACCTAACCTTACTGTGACCTACACAATACGTGTCGACAAGGCCGTGGTAACTAACCAATCTGGTGAGTTGTATATTACAGTGGTGACTGTAGCTGAGTGAGTGAGTGAGTATGGTTTTACGCCGCTTTTAGCAATATTCCAGCAATATCATGGCGGGGGACACCAGAAATGGGCTTCACACATTGTACCCATGTGGGAATTGAACCCGGGTCTTCGGCGTGATGAGCGAACACTTTAACCACTAGGCTACTCCGTCGCCCCGACTGAAGCTGAAAACAAGCTGAAACTGAAGAACAAGAAAATATGCTTGACAACACTTATGTGCATTCTTTGGTTGGTAGACATTTAACAATAGTAGTATACACAATAGCGGAACGGGACCAGGTCCTTCCAAAGTCCTTTGTTAAGTCCTTTGTTAAGTCCCTTTGTTAAGTCCCTGCATGCAAAGTTTCAAGAAAATCGGTGTAATAGTTTCTGAAATATTGACTTTTTAGTGAGCATTTGGTTGCCGAAACTCATGGTGCCCTACAGATTTTGAGGCTCCTATAATAATGTACAGCTGGCTGTCTACGTTATGTAATGATAGTTTTGGATCAAACTTTTTACGATCCATTGCTATTGCGTGAGTAACAAATATGGTTAGGATGACTGTCTCTCTCGCTATCGCTAGGTGTACAGCTGAGGCTGATAAGCAGCTCTCACTGCACAACACTGTCAGAGGTCTTCATAGTGTGAAGGTAACAGAGCTGGATTTACAATTCTGAGGACCTGAGTTCGAAACGCAGTAGCAGCCGAAACGTTTTGCGACCAGGATGTGATAGTGACAGAAGGTTATGTAGGCCAGACGTTCATACAAGAACGTTTGACACACTTAGATGCCCTAATTCAGGCTGTATAGCCACCACGGTTCTGATGTTCGCGAGAGAACTAATTTAGGCTGTGAAATTGATGGCTGATATCACGAGAAATACAACTCTGATATTTAGATGCACTAACTTTGTGTTTACAGTGACAGTAATATATCATACTAATAGCACACACACACACACACACACACACACACACACAACTGACAAATCATGAGAATTATTCAACAGTGGGCGATCACCGTAAGGGACTGTGTAGTGAGGTACGATCATCAACTCCTCTCCCACGAATGCTCTCGGCGGCCCATCTTTCAAGTAGTACAAGTTCGGTTCACCGTCTTTGATGTCGGCAAGGTCTACGCTGTACATTTTCATGGACCATATCGGATTGGTGGCGCGTTTTCTGCTGTCTCCCTCGTATTCGCCAGGCTGTTACAAGTACCTAACGCTTACTCGGTCTGGTAATGTTTTCTCTGTTTTATCACGACGCTGCCGCCGATTCGGTAGCGACAGATTTCATTTTGATGGCTCCACGGGTCTCTTTGCCCAAGAGTCTGGTGACTTCGTTGTTGATGGCATCCACCACTCGTGGCAAGCGTACGACCCATTCCGTGTTTCTGTTTTTGGGATCCATTAAATCCTGCGAGTACTGATGTGAGAACAGGCGTTCGGCTAAGGTGCGATTGAATCTCTCGACTATGGCTTGGCGGCGGTGAGCTCCCGCTATACCTCGTCTCACCTGGACTTTGTGCTTGGCCAGCAGCTGAGACACGGTTCCCATGAACTCGGTCAAGCGACTGCGTTTGTAGATGCATTCTAAGGCTTTGGCGACTTCGTTCGAATCTTTGGTCATCAACGGTTCGGCTTCCTTGTAGCGACTGGCGACGTCAACGACTGTCAGGGCATAGTTGTAGGTTTTACGCCTCACCCTGTCATGAGGTAGAAACAGGAGGTCGGTTTGATGCATGCGATTCGGCATTGAAATGTTGAATTTTCTTCTCGGTATGTACCGAGGCGCCGGCAGGTAAACTTGCCAGATGGCTTGTTTTTTAAGCCAAGCTTTGGCTTTCGCTTCTGAGACCTCGCGCCTTTGGCGAGTTTCGGGATGGCTTCCGCACCTTTCCAGTACCCGCGTGGGCTGTAATAAATTTTCTCCATGATGTATGTATTGCGTGCGTTTTAATTATTTAATATGCGCGTGTCCGTACATGTAAGTGGTGACTCCGTCGATGGCGATCCATCGTTTCGTGTCCATGGGAGACAGCGACGTCTTGTTGATTGTCAGTCCGTATATCCTGTGTCCGTCGCTTCTCAGCATGTTCATTTGGTGTTTGAACGTTATATTCTTGAACAGGGCTTCCTTGAATTGGCAGCATGTGTTTTTTCACCACGCATTTTTTCACGCCTTTTGCCGTTCTGATTTCGTCGTCTGCTTTCTTGATGGAATACATCTTGGGTCTCAAGGCGACGTACTCGGCGATCGGCGTGCCCGCACATTCGTCCTTCATCTTGACAAGCACTTTTTTGTTGGCTGTGTCGTGCATAGGGTTATCTTTAGGGTAGTCGCTGGTGTCACACAGATGCATGATTTTCTTCATGTCCTCGTACACGTCCTCGGTGCGATTTTCCATCAGCATGGAATCCGTGTCCATGTACAGCACTTCGCACTTGTCGCCGTACTGCTTCTTCAGCTCGTTGTAGTAGAAATCGTACATCAAGTGTTTGGATAAGTCGAGGATGCTCATCCCCACGTCGACGGGTCGGTTGAATTTGATGTGGCTTTTGTTCATGTGCAGCCCTGCCAAGTCGTCGTCGAATAGCTTGCTTTGGTTGAACGCTGGGATGGCTATAAGTTTCCTGCTTGTCCGAACGGAGTTTGTTCTTGAGCTTGTACAAGTTTTTCTCGAAGTCGCTGGTGGCCAGCTTTCTTAAGTCTGTGTTCGTTCTAATGTAGGGCTCCATCCACGGACTTTGATCGAACTGGAGTGCCCTGTGTACTTTCGTGAGTTTCATTCCCAGCGACAAGTACAGCTGCAGGTTGCAATAGTGAGCGACGTATTTTGTCTTGTTCATCAAGTTCGGTATGAGTTTTTCGACGTTAGCCGGCTTATTGTTTCCCAACAAGTTTCGTTGATATTCGGACATCCAGTCCAGGTTCACCGTCAATCGTTCGGGAGCTAAGGGATAGCTGTTGTGCGATTCGTGTAATTCTCGGGGGTACTCCAAGTCCACTTCGAATATGTGGCCTTTGTTTGAATCTGGTGCGATGCTATTCACGTCGATATCGGTTGGGGAGACCCATTCGAATCCCCCGTGGGGAGATACTGACTCATGGCCCAGCCGTACAGGTTGTTGGCGTCGAGATAGAGGGTGTGTTTGTTCGGTTTGCTTTCAGAGTCGTGCTAGCATTGTTACGGAAGCCTCTATACTTGTTGTTGGCGTAATCCATCAGTAGTTTCAGTTCCACGCCAGTCTTTTCAGCAAGGCATCCCAAGAGAGACCGTATGGGGATGAGAAATTCCTGCCGTGGGGTCCAGGACGTACTGTTTCGAGTCTTCCCACTTTATGTATATACATAAATATATTTTTTTCTGAATATCTCAGCACACGCTCCTGTCGGGAAAGGCGTGCGACGAGGGTGGGTTCGAGTCAATCGTCTCTGCATGCGCATTTTCGCGTAGATGAAATAGCTTGCATGCGGCTTGTAGCGGCTTTTCTCCCCGGCTAAATCGTGCCATTTCTGTTCTGCTTCGATCTCAGCAGCATTGGATGTGCGTAATTTGGAGAAGAGATAATTGCTTCCCCAGAAAGGCCAGGGCGTTGACTAATGCCCCGCCGACCATCATCGCGATTGTGGCCATTTATTTATATATTCTTTATCTTACTTTAATATTTTTTCTGGCATGATGCCTTGCTTGACTAGCATCTCTTTGGTAGCCGTCGTCATTCCCAAGTCAAACACGAGCATGCCCATGTCTTGCATTTTAAAATCGAGTTTGGGTGCCGGTTGTTTGGTGATCATTTTGCTCAATCGAGCATAGCCGATGGCTAGACCGTTGACCACGGCTGCATGATACGAATCGTTGACGAATGTTTTTCCGTCGGCGGTGGACATGATTATAACATAATATCTGTGTTTACCTCTAAAAGAAATTAACCAGAGGCACCATCACGGAATTGAAAATATCAGTTTTAGACATTAAACAGGATCCCATAAGTATAGGATATCTCAGGGCGACGCTGCACATACGACAATGACAGAGTCTCAAGGTCAAGGAACACGCATTCTAAAATGCGCTAACATAGCGATATCCGACCTCGGGGACACGCGCGGATTTGACGAACCCGGAGTCGACGGCAAACTGTACGCCTTGCAACTGAAAAACAACATTTACAATCGCGTTGAACTAACGCCCTCTACTGCCGCCGGTGGTGGCAAGAACAACAACCTAGGCGATTTCATCGATACCGAAGGAGCGGTCAACAACACTCGGTACGACCTGATCCACAACGACGAGGACGAATGGACGATAACCCCAGCGTTCCACAGCAGGCTGTTCCACCTGGACGACGTCGAGGCCAAGGCCGTCTCCAGAAACACGCACTACACTCTCATCTTCAACGACGACAACAAATGGGTATTGGTGCCATCCCAAATCGACTGGAATCTCAACATCATGCTCGACTCTCCCCACGTTTTCACAGACAACAAAAATCACTACTTGACAAAAGTCGTGAACAACGGAACGATGCTCGTGGCTTTTGTCCCTACACAAAGACGCAGCGTGATCATCAGCACGTTGAGGCAAAGAGTAGCCCGCATACTGTCAAGCAAACCCAGGACGCAAAACGTGGGATTGCAGATGGTGTCGGAATTCGACAGCGTAGTAAACATCCTGGAAAATCTGCCGGCGGGTGAACTGGGTGAACGTTAACGCCTACACCAGTCTGCAGGGAGTCACCGTGACTGTGGAAGACACGATATCACTCACCAAAATTTTCCTACCCGACAACGTACAATCTCATGGGTTTGAAGTGCACGCCTGAAGAATTATCCGATAACCTATTGAAAACCATTTCGTAAATTTGTATAAAAAAACGATGAACCATCATTCCAGCGTAACGCTAGCTGATCGTGACGTGGGGATTCGATCTGCCCGGTGAGGAAAACACCTTGTACGTCCTGCACTTAAAAG